TTTCAAGACCAGCCCATGCACATGGTAAGAGTCTGTCTCCAGTGAAAAAGGAAAAGGGAAGGAGAGGGAGGAAAAAGGAGCTACTTCTATGCCCACTTGAACCCACTTTTTTTTTTTAATTCACTTTTAAAGCACTTAAATGTCTAGTCCAGGATAGCCCACCTTGTGCCTCCAGAGTGCAGTCTTCTGCCCTGCATCTCTCTTACCATACACAGTGGTTGGCTTGGATTGGTTTGATGGTGTAAAAACACAGGTGAAAAGGCAAAAGGGTCCCCTCATACCACCCTGATCAGAACTGGCACAGACATGCCTCTGGGAGCTGTACATGTCCTCTGTGCTGCCACTCAGCTCAGAAGTGAGCTGCCTGAGAAAGCCCTTCTGAAATGACCCCTGGAGCAGTGGAGACTGGTTGTGCTCAGCCCTGAGCTGCAGACACCTGACCTGCTGAAGCCCCATGGAACTCCAGGCTTCCCAGACATTCTTACTGTTGTTCTCACCTCAGTACATCCTAGCTCCTGACAACAGGCTGGGGAGTCTCTCCCATTTTCTCAAAGCTACCCAGCATTCCACACTGGAATTTAAAAGGCTGAACCAGTATCAATTCAAAAAAGATTTTTGCCTTCGTAATTTTATTTCCTGTGGTACTGGGGATTAAATCCAGGGCCTTGTACATGCTAGGCAAAGCATTCAATCACTGAGCTATACCTCCATACCTTGGCCTTACTTTTTTTCCTAACAGTTTTATAATGTTTGTCAAAGATTTAGTTTTTAAAATGATCAGTTTTTTCTGAAGTTCCATAGATCAGAGTGAAATTACCTGAATCTCTTGTTTGCTGTAATCTCAACAGCAGCCATTGAGATTATTGTGCCTCACTAAGTACACAGAAGTATACGCTGGCTCTGATAAAGCAAGTGGCAACAAGAAATAATGAATTGTCTTTCAAGATGACATGGTGGTACATGCCTTTAATCCCAGCACTTGGGAGGCAGAGGTAGAGGCCGGAGGATCTCTATGAGCTCAAGGCCAGGCTGGTCTACATAGCAAGTTCCAGGCTACCCAAGGTGAAATGGTGAGACTCTTGTCTCAAAAAAATAGAAAAAAGAAAGATGGCTCATCAGATAAAAGCTTACTGAACAGACCTGATCACCTGAGTCCAGTCCCTGGAACTCATGGTGAAAGGAAAGAACTGACTCCTGAACATTGTTCTCTGATCACATGCACACTATGGAATGCATGTGCCCACACAGTACACTCACACACATAGTAGTAATACAATTTTAAAACTAATATTCAGGAGAACTGCCTTTAGTGCACAAAAAGCCCCAGCATAAAGCTTGGCCAACATACCTTAGTTATTTCTCTGTGTTGGCACTCAGGATCGTGACCAGCCATTGGTAAGATTCTGATCTGTGTCTTAGAATTTGTGTTCCCAAGTGAAAGGGCCATCTTTTTATATGCTGCACTGTCTGTAGGGTGAGGTCTGCCAGGAAATGAACAAAAAATATCAGTCCCACATTTATTGAGAACACCAAAAGCACCTGTGGGTAGTGACGACTTCACACTGGGCAGAGCAAGGCGGTAGGATCATAGTAGCAGCTCCCTCTGCCTCACTCCTGGAGGAAAGTTGAGTGGAGTGAGCAAAGGACAGGAGGGAGGAGAAGCAGGCGGCCAGGCAAGAGCTTTCCCAAGGAATACCCCCAGCTACAGTTTTGAGAGAAGGACACGAAACCCCAGTTCCCGAAGGGGTGGTACACATGACCAGAGGCACAATTTGTGAATCAGAGGTGTTCCCTCCACTCAGTAAAAGTGGAAAGAGTCAAGAGTTGAGGCCTTGTGTAGTGGCTCAAGCCTGAAATCTGAGCCCTCCAAGAGGATTGCAATGAGTCTGAGGCAAGCTTGGGCTACAAGTGTGTGATTCTGTCTCAAAAACAAAATGGTGGCAGGGCAGAGCTGGAGAGATGACTTACTAGTTAAAAGCATTAGCTGCTCTGCAATAGGAATTAGGTTTGGTTTTCAACACCCACATAGAGGCTAACAACCATCTGTAACTCCAGTTCCAGGGGATCTGGTGCCCTCTTCTGGCCTCCATGGGCATTGCATGCATGGGTGCACTGACATACATGCAGGCAAAACACATAAAATTAAATCAATAAAGTCTTCCCTGACTATAGTAAGACAGCTTTTAATTGTGTACTAAGAATGAAGGAAAGCCATAAGGAAAACGGCTGTCAGGCAGTCAGATATCCCAGTGGAGAGCATGGAGCACAATGGAAAAAAAAGCAAAAACTAAGAATTGTGTATGTGTGGGGGTACCGTCTAGAAGATATCTTTAAGAGGTTAGATTGAGCCAGGCTTATGTATTAATTTATCTAATACAATATCCCTGTGAGACATACACTGTATTTCCATTTAATAGTTAATGAAACTGGAAATTAGTGAGATTGAGACTTTTAAGGTTATATAAGCATACACCTCCACAGTCTTAAAAAAAACTAACAGATTAATATTTACATATAATATTCCATTAAAATTCCATAATTTTAAGTATACAATGAACTGATTTATTTTTAATTTACAAAATTGTACGACAACTGACTTTAAAAGATTTCAGGATCTGCAAGAGAACTTTGTGCCCATTTCATGGAAAGTGCTGTACCTTTTAAGGAAAGCTGGATCCTAATGTCAAAGTGTGTCCTTAGAAGGACGACACCACCACTCACAGCAGTGAGCCAAACTAGCTGGTGCTTTCAGCCACCTGGGTCAGATGAGGGAAGACCTACAGCCTGTTACACCTGTTGTAAGCATACACCACTACCACATTCTGAAGATCACTTAGATTTCTTGGGTCAGTTTCACTAGAAGGAAAGGACACATCAAGCTGCAGGCTGTATAACATCTCTACTTTGTTCTTGAACTGTAGGGAGCAACATGTGCATATGAGAAGTTACCTGAAAGTAAGTCTAGATTTAAAGATGGCTTGTCCTCGCAGGCCAGTGTCTTCTTTTATAAACAGTTGATTGTAATTGTCCTGCAGTGGGGCTTGGTAGACATCAAACACTTCGCTGCCTAAATGTAAGGACATGCTGGAAAGGAGAAACAACTGAGGTTCTAGGATAGTTAGTTGACAGCATCCATTCTACCCTGTTAGCTCTACTTAAACAGCACAGCATCCTGTCCTCACACTGAATTCATAGAAAATCTAAAGAAATGCTGTCAATAGCCTACTTCAGGGCTGGGTGTGGTGGTGCCTGCCTGTAATCCTAGCACTTGGGAGGTGGAGCAGGAGGATCTGGAGTTCAATATCATAGATTTAGTCAATTACAAAGTGAATTCCAGGCCAGCCTGGGTTACATGAGATCCTATTCCCTTCAAAGTAAAAATGGTCAAATTCATTCTTGTATTTTTTCCCCTAATCTCTATCACTTCCTTAGCAAACAGAAACAGGTTCTTAAAAATTCCTGTTCAGGGGCTATTGATGTGGCTTCATTAGTAGAATGCTTGCCTTGCAAGCACAAAGCCCTGTTTGAACCCAGGTACTGCCAAAAAAATTCTTTTTGAATTTAAAATATCTGGTATCTGAGATGGGAGCTTGCTTAGCCTTTGTCATCCACATGATAGATACAAGGGATTGACCCAATCTGGAGCCAGATCTAAGCTCTCTCATCAGCCCAACTCTAAGGCCTCACCTCTGCTTCTCTCTCAGGTTTCCTAGGTAACGCCAGGGGCCCAGATTTTCTCATTTCTCTAAAGGAGGTCCCACACAGATATGTCAGCTCATTCAGGCCTCCCTCAGGTGTTTCAATACTCCAGGCATGTGGCACTCACCTTCCATCTGACCACTTGACTATCCGAGCATTGCTTTCTTTAATTTTATATCCTCCTTCATCCCGGCGTACCCTCCATCGAATAGTATTTTCCACCTGGTTCATAATAGAAAGGCATTAGACAACCAGTTTATGTTCTCTTTTCCTCAGGTGATTCATAATCATCTGCTAAGAATCAATGGGTGGTTAAGATAATATCTGACGCAGTAGCACCCAGACCCTATGATGATGCTTAGAGATGTCAGTTAAACCAACCTGGCACTCTGTCTAATCTTCCTGAGGTCCAGGTCACAACAGTGGCAGAAGCTAAGCAGGATGCAGGATGGTACTGTTCTGAGACACAGTAGAGCTCCACAGGTGAGATGAGGCTTAGTCCACACAAGATAAATAGCCAAAATTGATACCATGGCTGGATAGTGGTAGAGCAATTGCCTAGCATATATGAGGTTCTATCTCTAGCACTGTTAAAAATTAAAACTAACCCCCAGTGTTTGAGTCTCCTTGTTCCCTTTGCACCCCTTGGTGAATCCTTGGTGATAATGATTTTGGCAACTTAGGAAATAAATGGCAATTCTCGGAGTGGGGAGGAATCCCTCTTTTTCTTGCAGGGCTAGTTGAAGGCTATCAATCCAGTGAAAGAAAGGCTTAAGAGGTGTCCTTTAGGGCCAGCAAGATAGCTCAACAGGTAAAGGTGCTTGCTACCAAGCTGACAACCTGAGTTTGATTCCAAGGACTCAGATGGTGGAAAGACAGGATTGCTGCAAGTTGTCCTCTGACCTCCACATACACAGACATAGACACACACACACATAGACACACAGACACACACACACACACACACACACACACACAAATAAATACATGTAATTAAAATGTTTTACAAAAAGTTTCTCATAATCTTCTTAAGAAGAAAAAAGTGTTCTCTAGTCTAATGAGATAAGATCTAGGCATGGCATTTTAATTTCTTTTAAAGAATAAATAATTAGGGGGCTGGGTATGGTGGCACACCTTTAATCCCAGCACACCTTTAATCCCAGCACTCAGGAGGCAGAGGCAGGCAGATCTCTGATATGGAGGCCAGTCTGGTTATAGGCCAGTTGAGAGATACAGGGAAGACCCTGACTCTAATAATAATAATAATAATAATAATTATTATTATTATTATTATTATTATTATTAGGGGATGAGATGGCTCATCAGTTAAAAGCACTTGCTGCTCTTACAGAGGACCCAGGTTTGCTTCCCAGCACTCACATCCCACATGGCAGTTCACAACTGCCTAACTTCAGTTCCAAGGGACCTAATGCCCACTTCTGGCCTCTGTGGGCATTGCACACATGAAGTGCACATACATGCAGGCAAATATTCATATACATAAAATAAATAGGGCTGGAGAGATGGCTCAGCAGTTAAGAGCACTGGCTGCTCTTTCAGAGGACCCAGGTTCGATTCCCAGCACACATGACAGCTAAGAACCATCCGTAACTCCTGTTCCAGGGGATCCAAAGCCCTCTTCTGACCTTTGTGGGCACTGCATGACACAGATGCACTTACACACATGCACATAAAATAAAAATAATAAAATATTTAAAAAATAAAATATTTTTTAAGCTAGGGAAAAAGATTAACAGCAAATTAAAACCTAAGACCTATACTTAGTTCTGTCTGGGGCCAAATTTACCCCATGAAGTGGGGAACTCCAAGTCACAAAAGTACTGCATGAACAGTGGTTGGGCTTTGCTATTCCAGGCCTTCAAATAGGAATCCCCTAATGGCAAGGTCTGCTTCTGTGCATAATGTAAGTCTCCATAAAGAGACATGTCTGTAGCGGGAAGCTACTAGGCTCCACGTGGGAAGAAACAACACTATCCAGGAGGAAACAGCAGTTTCAACAATTTCTATCTTCTGTCAGAAAAGTTGTAACTGACACTGGGCATGGTGGCACACACCTTTAGTCCCAGCACTGGGGAAGCAGAGGCAAGCAGATCTCTGTGAGATCAAGGCCAGTCTGGTCTACATAGCAAATTCCAGGCCAGCTGGGGCTACAGGAAGACCCTATCACAAAAAGACTATAAGAAAGTTATAACTTTGTATGGAGACCAGGCTGGCCTTGAACTCACAGAGATCCATTTGCCTCTGGCTATGTACATGCCTAAAAATATCTTGAAAAGCCATCTACTCTCATGTTCTAGAGTTACTTGTAGATTTAAGCAGGAAACATTAAGGGTTCCTCAGCCTTAGCTCTAAAGCTATCATCCCTGTGTTTTACTGTCAAAAGGAAAAACAGCCCCACATGCCTATAGTCACAGGACTGGGAAGGCTGAGGAGAGAGGGGCACTAAAAGAAAACAGGAACACAGCATGGGGTAATACCTTTAATTTTAACCTGGTTCTCTCTTCCTCATAAAGCACTTTCTCATCTCCAAATTCATCTTCATAAAGCTGAGGCTCAAAAGGTCTAAAAAATTGTCATATTAGTCATAATTAATGAAAGACTGACACTGTAAATTAAACACCTCTGCAGTGCATCACAGCAGACTAATAGCTTCACAAAAACCTCTAAGGAAGAATGCAAATGATTGTACTTTCTTGAAATATCTTTTTAAAAACATACTTCCTGAAATAAATCCAAACACGACTCATAATTCAAAATCTTCAAAGAAATGCATTTTAAAAGCATAGCTAATTCATGGCCTATCTTTGGGAGGGGTGTTAAAAATTTTTTTTTCCGTTATGAGTATATTGCCTGCATGTGTGTGTAAGTGCACCTGTCATGCAGTGCCCGAAGAGGTCAGAAGAGGGTATCAGATCCCCTGGAACTGGAGTTATAGACAGTTGTTAGCCACCATGTGGGTTCTGGGAACTGAACCCAGGTCCTCTGCAAGAGCAGCCAGTGCTCTTAAATGCTGAGCCCATCTCTCCAGCCCCCATGTTAGTTTTTTTTTTAATCTGCTTATTGTCAGGCCTGATGGCACTGCTTTAATCCCAGCACTCAGGAGGCAGAGACAGGAGGATCTCTGTGAGATTAAGGCCAGCCTTATTTATGTAGCAAGTTCCAGTCCAGTTGGGGTTACAAGGAGATCCTGTCTCAAACAAAGAATAAAATCTGCTTATTGCAGGGCTATTTGAAGGGCTGTGAACCCAATGAAAGGATGGCTTAAAAAATGTCCTTTAGGAGGCTGGAGAGATGGCTCAGCAGTTAATAGCACTGGCTGCTCTTACAGAGAACCTGGATTCAGTTCCCAGCATCCACATGGCAGCTAACAACCATCCTTAACTTCGATTCCATGGGATCTGACACCCTCTTCAAGCCTTGATGGGCATTCCATGCACATGGTACACTTACATACATGCAGGTAAACACTCAAATACATAAAAGTAAAAATTTTTAAGTGTCCTTTAGTCTAGTGAGATAAGATCTGGGCATGGCATTTTTACTTTTTTAAAGAATAAATAATTAGGAGGTTGGAGAGATGGCTTAGTGGTTAAGAGTACTTGCTGCTCTTGCAGAGGACCAAAGTTTGGCTTCCAGCACCCACATGGCAGCTGTAACTCTGTAACTCCAGTTCCATAGGATCTGACTCCCTCTTCTGGACTCCATGGGCATTACATACACATGATGTACATGCATATATGCAGGCAAACACATAAAATAATTAGGGGCTGAAGAGATGGCTCAGCAGTTAAGAAAACTGGTTGCTCTTGCAGGGGACCTGGGTTCAGTTCCAAGCACCCACATGGCAGCTAACAACCTTCCATAAGTCCACTTCCAGGGGACCCAATGCCCTCTTCTGGCCTTCACAGGCATTGCATGACATGGGTACACTTACATGCATGCAGATAAAGCACTCATACACACAAAAAAAAATCAAAATTAAATCTTTTAAAAATTGCTATGAAAAAAAGTAATTAACAACCAATTAAAACCTGCAACCTATGCTTAGCTAGCTCCTGGAGGATGTGCTTGTGTGCCTTAGTGACTATGACCAATCAACACTACTTTGCTGTCAATGTCTTGTCTAGATTCACAGTGGTATTTGCAATGAAAGTGTGATTCCTCTGACGTCTTTCTCACTCTCATTTCCAAATTTTCAGTTACACTAGTGACGTCATCATACCATGTTTGTTTATTACAGGAAAATACTAAATACTAGGAAGATTACTAGCATTCAACCTACCTCACCATCAAATCACCATTCTATTATAGCATATCCTGTATTTATTTGCTTTCAGTTCATGAGAAATCTTTCACCTTGTGGTTAGTCAAATCATGATAGATAGTAAAAATATTCACATTTTGCACATTTTGTTGGGCATGGTGGCTCACACGTTTAATCTCAGTAGAGGCAGGTGGATCTCACTGAGTTCAAAGACAGCCTGTTGTATAAAGCAAGTCCCAGGCCAGTCAGGGCTACACAGAGAGATCCTGTCTCTAAATTAATTAATTTAATTACATTTTATACAGTTTTTTTTCCAATCTCTTGAAATTTTTTATTCAGTTCTCTTACTTGGGTTCTATTCTGAGAAACCTGGGCAGTTTAACGAAATACAATTCATTTCCTAAGTCAGAGTTGATACTGGGAATTTCTATTTTTATTCTGGTTTCAGAAATGGGCTCTTCTGCATGCTGATCCTGATGTACTCCATGTTCACCCTAAGAGAGAAATCAGAATGGGACAGCTTGAGGAGAAATGTTCCAGCTTTGCTCTGTACTTGGTGGGCCTAGATTTGACAGGAATTCAAATCTGACACCACTTTAAGAACGCCTCCCTCCAAGTCTCTCCCTAAAACCTCACCCACCACCAAAAAAACAGCGACAACAAAATCCTTCATGAGAAGTAAGATGTGTCAGCCTGCATTACTAGAAAATTATATTTTATCTATTTTTCTATTTTTCATAAGACATTCAGCAACAGAAGTATAAATAATTCAACTCATCAATGCTACGTATCTATTAAAATCAGAAAATACCAACATTACCCACATGGAATGGTGAAGGTGTGAATAAGAAAAACCTTTTAAATCAAAGGCGTTCACATTGTGTCCTCACAGTCCAGCTCCTAAAGTTTGGCACTGATCTTATTCTGACAGTTCCTCCTGTACCTTCTAACTTCCCCAAATGCCCAGTCCAGCTAAGAAAGTCACCACATGTTCAGTTATCCACATTCCCTCTCAACATGAGAGAGACACACACACATCAGCCTCTGAACCTTTTTCCTTAGCTTTGAATACTGGGATGGGGACTATTTGGTGCTTGTACTCACAACAGTTTGTCTTGGAATAGATATTTGATGGTCGTCATCGCTCTCTGAAGAAACGTCGCCTATATCTCCAAACAGATCCATGGTCCCACTATAATCTTCAATGTTGAGGGAATACACATTATTAATTGGTCTAGCTAAAGTTATTTTATTTTTGATTATGTGTATGTGTTTGAGTCTGTATGTGGGTATTTACACATGAGTGCAGGTACCCACAGAGGCCAGAAGGCATCAGGTCACCTGGAGTTGGGAGTTGCAGGCATTGTGAGCTGCTTGATGTGGGGTCTGGGAACTGAACTCTGGTCTTCTAGAATAGTATGTGCTCAGAAGTGCTGAGCCATCTTTCCATAAAGAACTAAACTTCTCTCTATAGTTCCTCAACCTCCATTAAACCAGTCTCAAGCTGGCTCTCTGAGCCTGGCCTTCAGCAGCTTCACTAGAGTGTCTTAGGAGAAGGAAGGAGGTAGAGTCACTAGGATAACCACTTCAAAGGTGGTTCCCATGAGGCCAGAGATGGTGGTACACACCTGTAATCCTAGCACTTAGGAGGTAGAACATGAGTTAAAGCCAGCCTGGGCTACATGAGCCCCTGTCTCAAAAACAAAACAAAAACATGGTTCCAGTGGTTCCACCAGCTTTTTATGCTTTCTTGTGCCCATTCCTACCATGTCACAGTTGATCTATGCGGTACCCTCACTTCCAAAGATGGACTATGAAACACTGTGGACTCTTCTACCTTGCTTGTTCTTAGTGAGGGAAGCAACTGGTGTGATGCAAAGACACAGACCACTTATGGGGACTTCCAGTGTGACACAGACTGTCTATGGGGACTCTTGTATGATACACAGACTGCCCATGGGGAGTCCCAAGTGGCACACAGACCGCCTATGGGAACACCCGTTGAGATACACAGATCGCCTATGTGGAGAAACAACATTTGTACAAGCTACCTTGGAAACAGATCCTTCCGCTGCAGGCAGGCCTTTAGAGAATACAGCCATGGCATATGTGTGGAGGAACAGAGGACAAGTTGCAAGACTCAGTTCTCTCCTACCATGTGGTTCCTGAGATCAAATGCAAGTCCTCAGTCTTGGCAACAAGGTCTTTACCCACTAAGCTATCTTGTATGTATTTTACCAACTTTTTAAGAATTTAAGGGGCTGGAGAGATGGCTCAGCAGTTAAGAACACTGGTTGTTCTTGCAGAAGACCCAGGTTCGAATCCCAGCACCTCCATGTCAGCTAATAACTGTCCGTAACTCCAGTTCCAGGGGATCCAACGGCCTCTTCTGTCCTCTGCAGGCATGCACTTACCTACAAGCAGGCAATACACTCATACACATAAAATAAAAAATACAGCCAGACGTGGTAGCGCACAGCTTTAATCCCAGCACTCGGGAGGCAGAGGCAGGTGGATCTCTGTGAGTTCAAGGCCAGCCTGGTCTACATAGTGAGTTCCAGGACAGCTGGGGCTACAGGGAGACCCTGTCTCAAAAAGACCAAAAAAAAAAAAAAAAGAGAGAGAGAGAGAATTTAAAATCAGGGGCTGGAGAGATGGTTCAGTGGTTAAGAGCACAGGCTGCTCTTGCAGAGGACCCAGGTTCCATTCCCAGTACCCAGACGGTGGCTTAACAACTCAAGTTCCAGGGGATCTGATGCCCTCTTCTGACCCCCTCAGGCACTGCATGACACAGGTGCACCTACCTACATGCAAGCAATATACTCATACACATAAAAAAATTAGTTAATAAAATATATTTAAAATTTTTTCTAGTGTTTTATCCTTTCAGAAAAAACTTTGTAATAATGTTATAAACATTTCCTAAATTGCTCACTTTCTGAAAATGATGCATCAGCAAACCAGACATGGCAGCACATACTGGTAATCCCAGCACTCAGAAGGCTGAAGCAGAATTACCAAATTTGAGGCCAGTCTGGGCTACGTAGTATGACCTGTCTCAATAAACAAAGTAAAAGCTTTTGAGGCCAGACTGCTCTACATAGTGCATTCCAGGCTAGCCAGGGCTACACAGTGAGCCTCTTACCAAAAAAAAAAAAAAAAAGCCAGGCCAGGTGTGATGGCATATGCCAGTAATCCCAGCACTTGGGAGGCTAACACAAAAGGATCAAAGGACAGCCTGGGTTATATAGTACCTCAATAAGTAAACAAACAAACAGACTCTTAAAAAAATCTGGGGTTGGACAGATGGATCAGCAGTTAACACTGACAGCTCTTGCAGAGAACCTGGGTTTGGCTCCTAGCTAACAACCATCTATAACTCCAATTTCCGGGAATTTGATGCCTCTGGCCTCCATGGGCATTGCAGACCCATGGTGCACTTACATACATGCAGGCAAAATACTTATAAAATAGAAATAAAACAAAGAATTTTAATCTAATACTTTTTTTTTTCGTCTTTTTGAGACAGGGTCTGTGCTGGGATTAAAGAAAGGCGTGTGCCACCATGCCTGGCTAATCTAATACTTTTAAAATTGTAATTAGGTTTAAAGTTGTTTGTTAGGATATTGAAAATATATAAAGAATTCTGATTGCTGGGCGTGGTGGTGCACGCCTGTAGTCCCAGCACTCAGGAGGTAGAGGCAGGCAGATCTCTGTGAGTTCAAGGCCAGCCTGGTCTACATAGTGAGTTCCAGGACAGCTGGGGCTACAGGGAGACCCTGTCTCAAAAAGACAAAAAAAAAAAATCTGATTATAAAAATAGCAAAGATGGGGCTGAAGAGATGGCTCAGAGGTTAAGAACATTAGTTGTTCTTGCAGAAGACCTGAGTTCGAATCCTAGCACCCACATGGCAGCTAACAACTGTCCGTAACTCCAGTCCCAGGGGATCCGACAGCCTCTTCTGACCTCTGCAGCTATTGCACAACATGGGTGCACTTACCTACGTGCAGGCAATACGCACAGACACATAAAAGAATAAAAAATAATAAAATTAAAAAAAAATAAAAGACAGGGCTAAAGGGATAGCTTAGTCATTAAAGGCTCAAGCTGACAACCAAAAAATCAAAACTAGTAACTACAGAGAGGCTAGAGAGATGGCTCAGTGGTTAAGAGCACTAGCTGCTTTTCAACAACACCTGGGTTCAGTTCCCAGCACTCACACAGCAGCTCACAACTGTCCTTATCTCCAGTTCCAGGGGATCCCACACCCCTCTTCTGGCCTCCATGGGCATTGTGTAATACGGGTATACTTACATACATGCAGGTAAAACACTCAGACATAAACAAAAAAAATTTTTTTAATTAATTTTTTTTTTTTCGGTCTTTTCAAAGCAGGGTCTCCCCGTAGCCCCAGCTGTCCTGGAACTCAGCTATGTAGACCAGGCTGGCCTTGAACTCACAGAGATCCACCTGCCTCTGCCTCCCAAGTGCTGGGACTACAGCCGTGCGCCACCACGCCTGATTTTTTTTTTTTTAAATACAGGGGCTAGAGAGATGGCTCAGAGGTAAAGAGTACTGGCTGCTCTTGCAAAGGACTTGAGTTCGGTTTCCAGCACCCACATGGCAGCTAACAACCATCCATAACTCCAGTTCCTGGGCATTCAATGCCCTCTTCTGCCCTTTGTGGGCATGGCATGTACATGGTACATTTACATATATATAGGCAAAACATTCATGCACACAAAATAAAAATAAACATTTTAAAAACAAAAATAGCAAACTTTAACTCATAGACCTGAGAGAAAACAGGAAAGAGGTAGAATTACCAAAACTTACAATACTTAGCTAATCCCAGCCCTTGGGAGACTGAGGCAGGATTATCATGCGTTTCAAGTCAGTCTGGGCTACAGAGTAAGACTGTCTCAAAATCGGAGGACTGGCGAAATGGCTCAGCAGTTAGGAGCACTGGCTGCTCTTGCAGAGGACCCAGGTTTGATTCCCAGCACCCACATGGCAGCTAACAACCACCTATAACTTCAATTCCAGGGGAATCTGATGCCATCTTCTGACCTCCGTGAGCAATGAACAACACAGGTGCACTTACACACATGCAGACAATACACTCATACACATAAAATAAAATTTTTAACATTAAAAAACAAGGAGCTGGAGACATGGCTCAGCGGTTAAAAGCACTGACTGTTCTTGCAGAGGACCTGGGTTTGATTCCCAGCACCCACATGGTGGCTCTGAACCATCCTTAACTCCAGTTCCAGGGGAATCCAACACCCTCTTCTGACCTCCGTGGCACTGCATGACATGGGTGCACTCACATACATGCAGGCAATACATTCATACACATAAAATAAAAA